CTGGGAATTATGGATGGCACTTCGAAAAAACATGACTTTAATTCTAGATTTTTTTTAGAAAAGAAAATTACTGCGTTATTTTTTAATTTCCCCAGAAAGCCATCAAACCCAAAATCAAATTTAACTCTGAATGACCACGTGTGGAATGTAAGGAAGATTGTCTGTAAACCATTGGAAAAAATGATCACGAATTTATCTCTGAAAATCTTGGACGCCATAATTTTTATTTAAATTGAAAAGAGGTTTTCAATTGTTCATTCACAGGAATAATACTGTAGATCCATTTATCCCTTCGAATTAACCAGACGCATTGAGTCGCTAAATCAGTGAATAGAAATATTATTGTGGAAGTATTATTTTTTGGCGAGGTCAATCCAGCTGGACTTGGAAGGTAATCAGGGAAATGATGGATTGCGATGCGACAGAAAATCCGGGTCCCGGGATTTATTCTTCCTCGAACCCGAATGGTCGATCGCACCCGTTCAATAGGACTGTTATACGGATATGTTTGTGTGTGGACGCTTTTTCTTGATTCACGTGCCTTATTTTTATTTAACTTTTTTGCTCACGTTATTTTGTTCACAGGTCGATTGATTGTCAAGGAATGGGCCAAGCTGAAGTATGGGGTTTTCGATGAAACCCATCGATCGGCGTCGGATCCGTCTTCGCCGAGTTACTACACCCCGTTTGGCATTTCTGGACCCGAAGAACCCGTGCCGACCAGGTGCTCTAACATACCCGTCAAGGGACACAGGTTAGATTTTTTTTTCTTGCAGGAAATCCGCGATATTTTTTTTTTTGAGAAATAATTTGACAGAACTCGGGCGGGGGATTATTATTCCGAAGACTTTTCTGTCAAAAATTCAAAATTCTCAGTTTTTCGCAAGTGCGATTCATCATTACCAACGTCTCCCGGAAAAAAAAGGACCGAACGATCATCGTGTTAATTAAAGCTTAGTTTTCCTTTAATTGGAAAGAATATGAGCTTTTATCTATTGTGAGGGGAAGAAAGGGGGCAAAATCATCTGAACAGCAGTCGTCAGCGTCCATTATTCCGAGTGTGTCCCTTGGGACACAATTTCCGAAATGACGTCGACGTCTTCTGTCTCATCTTTTTCTCTCTCTCTCAAAAAGATGATAAATTGGGGTTTCATAAAGTTTAAATGTACATATTTGCAGCTCCTGCCAGAGATTCAGAGCATTTTTCTTTGAAAATGTGCCGAATTTCTTGGGGGGCGGAAGTTCGGATGCAATTTTTCGAAAGAAGTTTGAATTTCCTCAAATTTACAGTGCACGCATTATGATTTTAATTTTCCTGAGGACGAATAACTTAAATTGCAATTGACGTGTTTTTTAAAGTTTAAAGCGGAAACTGTTCGGAAGTTCTGAAAGCTTGAAGATATAGTTGTTCCCGGATCATCATTTATTTATTGATCCATTCTTCGTCGCAGAAATTGCGTGGGGCCAACGTGTCACTTCCTGCCTTTGGACAAAGTTGCAGAGAATGACGGTGTCGTGTCGTCGTTGATGTCGTATCCGGATCTGCCTCAGGTTCGTGTGATACGATTCTTTTTTGCAATCCCTGAAAAGTGATTCTTATTGTATCCTTTGTTATATTTTTGATGTGAGGTGATGATGTATGTCAACGGGGTTTTAAAGTTGTCCAGTGAGTCAAGACGTTGCTTTGCTGAGTGCTAGGCCTTCAAGGGTGCTTCGTATTGAACGACACACTGCCTGAGTCATGTCCGGTCCAGTAGGCGCTTTTGGAGCTAAAGGAACCCAGAGTATTTTCAGTTAAATCCACGTCTTGAATTTTTTGGAGCGTATATTTCAAAGACGCGCTTGTATAGAGAAAAATAATAATTTCACGTCACAGATTTTCCATGATTAGAAATATTTATTTATTTTAAAGAATTATCTGAGCCTCGTTTTTAAACCTGGCTCAAAATTTGTGCTTTCATTTGTGTTGCTTGCAAAGGAATATTCAAACTCTCAATTTATTTTGGTAAGAAGATAATTCTTTTAAACTGCATGAAGTTATTTGTTGATTTAGAATCATTCATATTCTGTAAAGCACCAATCGTGTCGAATTAACAGGCGATATTCAAGTCAATCGAATTTTTGAGACACGAGAAAAATGCGTTATTTCGAGTTTCACTCAATTCTCGTGGGAAAAACCGGAGATTTCGATAAACAATCATCAACAAAAACTCGAGGAGTGAGAGTTGTTTTTTTTTTAATGGATATTTTAGAAATCATGGCCACGTGAATATTATTTCAATTTTTTTTAATGGAGTCGTGATTTGTTTTTCTTTTTGCAGAATTTCTCCTGGCCCAGTCGGAATGGATACGAGGCCAACTTTCAAATTCGTGCAGCCAAAGAAATCAAACCTTGTGCTGGTCGTCCAAGCGACTCAAGATTTGGACCGAGAATCCGTGAGTTTTTTTTTTTTGTTTCTTTTCCTTCTCTTTGTTCGTCTATCTAAATAAACATACATACCGACATAAAAACATACACACTTATTACAAAGTCGGGGAATTTATTTCCCCCACACTCCTCGTCTTCTCTCGAGAAAGGGACGCAAAATATGACGCATTATTTTCGCGGCTTGGCATGTGAAAAGCCTGGGTGTGATGAACGATGAGGCTTTGAGAAGAAGAAAACAGCCGCGTTTTGCCCTGTTGCGATTAATCCAGGAGATTCTCATGTGGGCTCCCCACGCTTTGTTCGGCCATGAATAGGCCTGATTTCCGCGAGATGCGTCAATGTCACTGTGTGGGCGTGTCATCAGTTCCGTTTTCCAGTCTACATATATAGAGTATAGGCAAACACTAAATAAAATATTCAACGGAAAAGGAAGAAAGTAAATCTCGGAATATTTCTCTATATATACAGTCGATATGTGCATGAAAGTATTGATATTCTCCTCATCCACCCGCTGCTGCTTGGATCTCTTCTCTTCTCTTCTCGCTTGTGTGCGACAAGGGGCTTTATTGGCTGAGGAGACTTTGAAATTAATCGAAAGTCTACTCCATATAAACGTACTCTGAGCGACGTAATACTGCGTGAAAAAATAAATTATTTTTTTTTTTTTATCTGGGAATATTCGAAGGGGTTCGGAAAGGCATTCCGGTACTGTTGCGATCGGCGATCGGGAAATATTATGGTGGTCGATTGTCGGCTGGCTCTCTGGAAAGCCTGACGAAGAATCGTGACTAAGCAATTTCTAGAGGCGATGAAAAGCCCAGGGGAAGCTAAAGTGTTAGGCGAGGAGTTTCATCTTCGGTCACATTATGAAGGGAGCTTTTTTCTGGATCCAATTTTTTGTTAAATTAAAAAAAAATGTGAAGAAAAATTCAGAGAAGGAACTGAAGTTACTTTTTCAATCAAGGCTGTGGTAATATTTTTTTTTGCCTTTTCGAAATCCCTGCAATTTGTGAATATTACCTGAATACTTCTGAAAGGTTGCATTCGTATAGAGTAAAATCTTTTTACGAGAAACCTTTGAGGACTTCAGAAAAGTGTTATTTGCTAAATAATTGATTATGCTGATATTTTTTTAATCAATGAATAGAAAAATGTTCATATCCGACTTTTATTCAATCAATTATAGCTTGTTTTTCTGGCGTTCTCAGATTTTTTATAATTTTTCGAAAAAGTTGAATTCGGAAAAAATAGCTTCGATCAGTTGCACGAATCTCGTTATTTTGGGAGAATTTTGTGTGGAACTACTTGGAAGCATGTTTTTTAAATTGATAACTGCTTCCATAAGTGTTCCAAGAACCAGTTAGTCACATTAGGGATCAGAAATTCAAGACTGATGGGCCCTTTTTAGTCAGGAAATTTCTACCTGGATGACGTATCAAAATTCTTCGAAAATATTTTTTTATGCTGGAATCGGGAAGTTTTTTATGCGATTTTTTAACGCATGGTCAATGTCCTGTCTAAAAGAGAAGAGAAGAGAAGAGCGAACACACGCTGTTCCCCGAAATAACCGACTCCTCTGAAACTTTAATTAGCTTTCAGATGAGGTATATTTGCATGAGACTCGCTGCATTATGACGCACTTTTTTATTCCTTTGTTTATTTTATTTTATTTGGGAATATTCGAAAGGGTTCGGAAAGGCATTCCGGTACTGTTGCGATCGGCGATCGGGAAATATTATGGTGGTCGATTGTCGGCTGGCTCTCTGGAAAGCCTGACGAAGAATCGTGACTAAGCAATTTCTAGAGGCGCTGAAAAGCCCAGGGGAAAATAAAGTGTTAAGCGAGGAGTTTCATCTTCGGTCACATTATGAAGGGAGCAATTTTTGTTCAATTTTTTTGAAAAAGTAAATGTGAAGAAAAATTTCAGGGAAGGAACTGAAGTTACTTTTTCAATCAATGCTGTGGCAATAATTTTTTTTGCGTTTTCGAAAATCCCTGCAATTCGTGAATATTACCTTAATACTGTACTTCTGAAAGGTTGAATTCGTATGGAGTAAAATCTTGTTACGAGAAACTTTTGAGGACTTCAGAAAAGTTTTATTTGCTGAATAATTGATTATGCTGATATTTTTTAAATCAATGAGTAGAAAAAATGTTCACATCAGACCTTTATTCAATCAATTATAGCTTGCTTTTCTGGCGTTCTCAGATTTTTTTATAATTTTTCGAAAAAGTTGAATTCGGAAAAAATAGCTTCGATCAGTTGCACGAATCTCGTTATTTTGGGAGAATTTTGTGTGGAACTACTTGGAAGCATGTTTTTTTAAATTGATAACTGCTTCCATAAGTGTTCCAAGAACCAGTTAGTCACATTAGGGATCAGAAATTCAAGACTGGGCCCTTTTTAGTCAGGAAATTTCTACCTGGATGACGTATCAAAATTCTTCGAAAATATTTTTTTATGCTGGAATCGGGAAGTTTTTTATGCGATTTTTTAACGCATGGTCAATGTCCTGTCTAAAAATTATGTTGTACTGTATTTTTAAACTTTTTTGCAAAAGTATTTGTTATAACAAGATTTTGCCGTATGAAAGCACTCATTTTCACCATTTCTGATATTCTGGAAATTTCGCCATTGATGAAATTCACTGGTTGATCCGGTTTTTATCAATCTTTTACCCCGGAATGTTTTGTATTGTTCACTACTGCTCCTAAAGTTTTTTTTTATAGCTGAAAGCAAATTTTTGTTGCAAACTGGTAAATAAAATTGAATTTTTGACAAAGTCCAAAAGGTGAATTCCACAGACGATGGGAGGATAGTGCATGTTGCCAGTTGATTAGAAACTGAGCTCATCACGACCGTCAAAAGCCTTCCATTCCCCACTTGAGATTGGAGCACGACCAGGATCCAGATGGGAGAAAATATCCCTCGAGTATTCTCCACTTTCTAGCACTTAGTCTCGTGTCAGCGGTGGATTACATATACTTTAGAAACATATATCTTTCCAGGTTCGAGTTTCATTGAGAATAAGGAGACACTCTTAGATTAGAGACTCGCTTTTACTTTTACGCGTTTCACCCGACGTTTTTCTTTTTCGAACGAGAGCAGTAACTTGAAACTCCATGTTTTTCTGATGCTTCTTTTTGTTGATTTTAAATTGCTGTGAGGGTCGCAAAGTAGGAAATAGAAGACCCTGAAGATAAAAAAAAACAAAATCCTGAAAAGTTTATTCCTCAATCTCCTGGAGTTGGAGTCATTTTGATAGAATGCGTTGGTGAATTATGAATATTGTCAACGATGTTTGGTTCCTCTTTTATAATTCTAAATTTTAGTGCTCCTGCATTCATCTGAAATATGATGGATACATAATTGAGGTAATTTTTGCAGTAAATGTGTATCAGAAAAGAACTCAAATTGTGAACCCTTCCCGAAATTTCTACTCATTTACGGAATATGTGAATTCTTTTAAAAGACTAATTTCAAATAGAAATAACTCATACAATTTGTAGTTTTGTGGCACCTTTTTTTTTAAATTAATTTTTGGGTATACTTAGGTTAGGCTGGTTTCTTGCATAGAGGTGCCTGAAAATATACTGTATATGCAAAGTAAGGGGGAGTTTCTCTTGAGTTTTGAATAAATATAATATGATTTGATGCTGATTGGAATTACGCAGTGTCCTAATCATTGGAGAACTCTTATATTGGATCCTCGTTATGCGAGGACCGTTTTTTTTGTCTTTTGAATTTTTAAAAAAGTTGGACTGAATGAGAAGAACGTTGTGTCATTGCGGGAGGAATAACCCAGGATGCATGGTCCCTGGGGGCATCACACCTGCCCCTCAGTGAAAGACTTTTATTTCCGCCGGGGGGTTTCCTATCTATTCTTTTTTTTCTTGATTTGTTACTTTATAAAATGTATTTCCCTGGTTCTCTTCATTAATGTCTCCAATCGGCGAGCAATTAATCCGCGGCGCAGGAAACGGGCAATGAGCGAAGAAGAGAGAGAGAGAGAGAGAAACTGTTCAAGGGCGAGTTCGTTTTCGATTGTCGCGGCGCCGGCGCCGTGCGACGATAAATCAACGTCGCCGAACGTGGGCCGATCAACAATGAGCCGCCGCATCCTCCCGGTTATGGACTTGGGGCGCCCTAAGAGACGTCTTAATAATTCCGCCGTGTTTCCCCCCGTGGAGTGTAACGACTCTTACGTGATCTGTGCTGTGTACTATGCTGAATTTCTGGGGGACTTGGGTGGTTTCTGGTTTTCCTGGGTTGCCTCTGGAGGATTTTTTTTCTTTCGGAAAAGAAAAAATAAAAATCCATGAGCTCAAAAAAATATTTTTTCGAATTTTGGGTAAGGATAATTTTAATATTTGTTACAAATTTATGTCAGTCTGATTGATGTAAAGGTGGTGCCCTGCTATTCAATCTGTTTCCGGAATAAGGTCAAATTGTGAAGCAGTCAAGTTGCAAGGCAATGCCAAATTTGATGTTTTATGCATTGCATTTTTTTTAATTCTATTTTGGTAAGATTTCAGGGCAGAAGTCGAATTGCGAGTCAACCTCCCAGCAAATTCAGCTGTCCAATTGCAGGGTGGTCAAATTGCAAGATATTTATTCTTTAGAGCCTTTCTAATCATATAAAATCAGAGGTGATTTTTTTCAAGCAGAAAATCTGTCAAGTATTATCAAACTTCTTCAAGTTCGTCTATTCAATTTAAATAGTTGAATGAATAATGATTATAGATCGTCCCCAGCAAGCTGAAGAGTACCTAGGCGTGATTTTCAAACGCTTCCTTTTCCTCCCCCCCTCTGGATTTTATTCTTCCTTGGCGTTGCTTTGTGTTGCTTTGATTGACTTCGCTGCTTTTGTGAGACCTGAGTTTCCTTATAAAGATCTTATTTTTCCCCCCTCGTTCTCTCACGAGCTTTGGATTGAGTTTTGAATGAGAGCTGATGTACATTTTTTTCTAGACGAGCGAAGAGATAGTCCATTAGTGGAACATAAAATTTGTTGAAGAAGCAAGGAATCATGGCGGTTTGTGATTGCATTCGAGATTTTCGCCTTGCGAGGATTTTTATGCCCGTGAATGCATATATTTTTAGGCAATTTTCTTGTACCTTTTGGGTTCATTTCATGAAAGGAATCTATCTTATGTTTTTTCGTGGTCTGAAGGGCACGGGTTTTAATTGCAGTCACGCCTCGCACTAATTTTTCGAACCGGCGGTTGATCCTTTCGAAAATATCGATTATTTCTATACGCCCTAACCAGATGATGGGCACATTTTTTTTTTTTAGTTTGAAAGGGGTTTCAATCGAAAATTAGTTCACTGTACTGAATGAAAAAAAGGGGTTCGTTTGTCAGTTAAAAACGTCCGTACGATTCTGGCCCAGGCTAAAAAAAAATCTGAGTATAACTGCGGGGATTGAACTTTGGGAAAACGCTTTCGCGATTTTGTTTATTTTTTTCGATGGGTCCTCAACAACAAAAAAAGGATGTAAATCACTAGTGGTTTTCACGGGCATGAAAACGACTGCTGACATTTTTATTTCCTGGGCAGGGGTGTGAAAAGTTCTTCATCCCTATTTCACCCCGCTTGAACCGAATGTGGAACGACCTTAACTCGGAAATGTATGTCTTTCCATTGAATGGAAAAAACGTGTGTTTTGTGTTACAGAAACGAGTGGGCTCTTATTTTTTATTTTTTGCTTTATTTTCTTTTTTAGATTTTTATAAGCTACGATCTCACGGTTCATTTGCGGAACTTTTGTCGCGGCTCATTTTCTGAAAATATTTTTCTACTGACGCTTTTTTGTGACATTTATGCCGAGGCCATTAAATGTAAGATCCCTCTAGAAAGATTTGTTGGTGCTTTCCAAGGAAAAAAATTTGACTTTCAACGCGTGAAATTATTTGTTTTTTCACCCTCACTCAGATAACGTGTGTATTCAGCCGAGAAAGTTTTTCAATTTGGAAAAAAAAATTTACGCTCTATAAATGAGCGATATATTCAATTTCTGTTGACGTTTTCAACATTCTTGTCGCAGTGAACAAGTCAAAGAATTGATCAACTATGCTTCTTCGTTGTTGTGAAATGAAAGTTTATTCGCGAGTGGGAGGGAAGAAAATTTTCTTTTAGCAAAAATTAAACTGCAACTTGCACTCGCTCTGTAAAGAAAACCTCGACATGAATCCGACCAAGATGTTTTTTTGGTGCTTCATCTTGGAAGTTTTCAACATTCTTGTCACTGTAAACAGGCCAAAGAGTACATTTTTCCAACAAGCACGAGAATCCCACAGGGGATCTGATGTTGAACACCGGAATGTCGGGGAATTTCACGGACGAAAACTCCCATTCCAACAACATTGAAGCATGCACAAACACTTGGTCGGGGGTGTTTGGGGAAGTGAATAAATTTTATTCACGTAAAAAAAAACAGCAGTATTCAAGTAGAAAATCTCGGCCAACGGAATGTGTGCATGAATAGGCAAGGAAGAAGAAAAAGAGAGAGGAGAGAAATTCAGTGGCATGAAAAGACCCCATGAATCTCCTGGTTCCTTTTTTGTGCGGAATCAAGTGGAAAAGCAGCCCAGCAACGGCGATAACATTCACTTTTTCTTCCCACCCTCACACACACACACACTGACGAAGGTGGATTTTTCCCTCGTTTTAAACCAGCTTCTTTTCTCGTGTACGAAAACTTCAAGAGCGATCATGTTCCATTTTCTCAAGATTCTATTTTGTTTTCGAGTCCCCGGGGAAATTTCTGAAGTTTTTACAAAAGCCCTGGGGCTTCTTGAAGGAAATCGAGGCCCGGAAATTTCTCCCGGCTCTTTCGTCGTGTGCAATGAAGAACTGGCCGGAAAATTGTTTCTACCTCTCTGTGCCAAAAATTCGCGGGGCTGGAGGATAATATCTGCACACATCGTACCGTAGTAGTGATAATAGTAATAGTAGTGAGAGGAAATGCAGTCGTCAGTAATTCTGTCCTGAGTACCATACCGACGGGCACTTCCGGCTGTTTGATGAATAATGAATGGCAATGATCCGCGCCCGGATTTTCTTGGCACGAGGACTCGGCTTCCGGTCACGACTTGCTGATTTCCTCTTCCGTTACTGCTTCAAAGAACAAGGTTTCTTTTGATGAATTGCAGGGAAGAGAGAGAGAGAAGGAGGAGAAAAGGGATGAAATCAGCGATGAAGTTCGTGCTGGATCTTCATTGTTGATGGCTGGACTGATGTCGGGTCTTCTTTGTAAAAGTTCCCTAAAGATATTGCGAAATATTTCCTTTTTTGCATTATGCTGCAGACTGAAAAAAAATATTCTTCGCCTCTTTCCGGAAATGCGTTGTTTATGCGTGTTTCGTTAGGATTAATGATTTAAGAATTCAGGATTCATTAGGAATTTTGAAACTTTTCCGCGGAAGTTCGCAGTGCTCTTTTTCGTGATTTATTGACTGAAGAAAAATCCAAGAAAAAATCAAATTAATCTCAATAATGGAGGAACGGCTTGAAAATATTCGGGTTATAAATGAGAAAATATATTTTGGCTGGCAAGTAAAAGGATTTTCTTCTTTTTGTTCGAATATTATATAACCAACGATTATTTCCAATCATCAGAGGATGGGGGAAGAAAACGGAAAAATGGCTTGAAAAAAATTGCGTTTGCAGTTTTTTTTCTGCGTCGGACTGATGATATAATTCTAAAACATGGAACTCTTCGAAGTTTCCAACACTTTTTTCACTATTTCTTTTTGGCATTCATTTCGTTCTCTTTGTTTTCAATTCCAGAATTTATGGACATCAATGAGAGGATCTATTCAGGCTTACCTGCAGCTGCTGTCGACTTCAGGAGCTCATTCTGGCACAACTGGTCGTCAGGTCGGAGTCGTCGAAGTTGCCAGTGACGTCGTGGTTACAAAACGCCCGCGAGAGGTCACTGCTAGCGTCGAGCGTTGGTTGTCTCATTATCCCTCCGACAGAAACGAATTCTGTCTCGAATGTGGACTTCGCAAAGCTGTTGAGGTTAGTAATTTTTATGAATTTTGCAAGTTGAAAATTTTTTATGGAAAACATCAAGTATTTAAAGCAAGACTGATTTAGGTGCCGCCATTATTTTTATATATTTTATATACAATTTTCTGAGAACCAAGAACAATGAATGCCTCACATCAAAAGTCAAATCTCACAAGATGAATTTACTTGAGCATCCCGTTTCCACACCAATCACCTGATCTAATCTCCATAATACACCGTTTATTCACCATCTTTTCCCGAATGCACATCGCACCAAAAAATTGTAACAATATTGAAATATTCTCCGTAATCACCTTTCCAAACATCGGAGTGCGAATCTTGGGCAGAAATTAATCAAATTCTGAAATGTATTTCATAACGTGTTAGCAACTACTCCCAAACGCCCTCCGTAAGGCGTCAAGGCCTAACTTCAACCTAATAATGCCTCCCAAACCTCACAATTGAAGTTATCTAATCTAGCTTGACCTTCATAAATCGATTGCAATTTTGCGAATGAGCATGGGAAAAAAAGCGATGAATGAAAAATTGAGCGACCAGGGTTTTGCCAAAAAAAAAAATTTTTGACGAGCGCGTTTGTTCTTGTGAACAGTATTTTGCAAAGGGGAAGTAGATCTTGAATTTCGATGCTGATGATGAGACCTTGGGGAAAATAAATTGATTTCTTGGTTAGGGAGGGACGAATGCAAAAAATAATGAATAAAAATAAAAATAGATAAATGTTGTTTTCCATTGTCATGCCATAAGGAACGTCTGTAGTGTTTGCTTGCTGGTGCTCTATCTACGGAATACAGTACAGGATTCCAACGTGTGTAAAAGAGAGGGTATATTGGAGAATCGGTTGGAAATCAGAGAGGCCCAGTGCGTGAGATCCGTAGTGATTAGATCTGTAGTGAGCAAGTGACCTTGTCTGGGCCAGACTAACGAGATCCTTATCCCAGTGAACGTTGCTCCATATTTCCGGAATCAACGGTAACGAGGTTCTTCAGCTTCTACTGCTGTTCGTTTGGCCGAAAACGTGATGCTGACTCGGTTTTTCTGCGAGTTTTTCTCTTTCTCTCTCTCTGTGTGTGTTTCTTAT